AGATTTATATGACTGCAAAACCTCCCTCCACTCCTAGCCACCTCAGGATCCTGCTACTATATAATTGTATACAACTATGGTTACAGCTTTTGAAGAAGATGCCTACCTGCAAAATTGCTAGCATGATTTCCTTGATTAAAGCCAGCAAATAGGCTCTTAGATACAATAGATAAATGATGGCCTAGCTTTTATCTGCCTTATAGCAAATGCTGTTTCTTCCTCCACTGCCACCACCTTGGAAAAGCCTATGGAGATTCTCAGTCATCCAGGTCATGGTTGTCCCAAAGGTGCTTTTTTCAAGGAGGCAACTGGACTTTCTTGTGTTTCTTTTGAAGACATTTCACTTCTCATCCAAGAAGCTTCTTCAGCTCTGACTAGATGGTGACAGTGAAGAGACACAAGCCAGAAAACATCCTGCAGCCAAAAAGGCTCAATACACATTTGCACTACTCAGGTGACCCTGAGGACACAGGTAAACCTCCAAATGGCTTCAAAGACTCTCTAAAAGAATGCAAATAACCAGCTATCTGCAAGCAATATAAATCCTTCCAGTCCCCACTATTTAGTCAGAGCTGAAGAAGCTTCTTGGATGAGAAGTGAAACGTCTTCAAAAGAAACACAAGAAAGTCCTGGAAAAAAAAGCACCTTTGAGGCACCTTGGGAAAGGACACATGTACATACTATGACCTAGAAACATGAATGGGAATGTACTAACAATTTATGTCATTTCTTTGTTGTGTTGAATAGAGGTGAAATATTTTGACACTCCAGGTCCTGTAGTAGTTTGGGTGGGACACTTGTTAAAAGTGTTTCTTTCATTTGCTCCTTTGGAGGAAGAGCACTGATTCCTGCATGCTATTCTTGGTCCATATTCTTTAATCCAAGTTGGAATGAACTATGACAGCTTCAAAACAGATTGGCGTACGGGCTGTATGGAAGTGCTCTTAGAAAGGGAGCAGTTTCAAAGTGATATGTGATACAGGTAGACCTCGACTTACAACAATTCATTTAGTGACCGTTTGAAGTTACAACGGCACTGAACAAAGTGAGTTATGACCATTTTTCACACTTACGACCGTAACAGCATTCCCTTGGTCACGTGATCAAAATTCAGACATTTGGCAACTGACTCATATTTATGACTGCTGCAGTGTTATGGGGTCATGGGATCCCCTTTTGTGACCTTCTGACAAACAAAGGCAATGGGGAAGCCAGATTCACTTAACAACTGTATTCCTAATTTAATAACTGTAGTGATTCACTTAACAACTGTGACCAGAAAAGTGAAATGGGGCAAAATTCAATTAGCAACAGAAATGTTGGGGCTCAATTGTAGTCGTAAATTGAGGACTACCTGTGTCTTCTGTCACTCTGAAGAACTGAGAGCAGGAACAGAAACCTATGATCCTCGTGCCACACAAAAGAGAAAGAAAGAATGAAAAGAAAACAGGAGTGAACAAAACGGGGAACCTGTCAAAATATTTATCTGTTTCCTTTCTCCTCTCTAGGCTGCTCAAGGGGAGATGCAAAGCTGCCATGTTGGCATTTCTTTGACAGCATTCGAAATGCTGGAGCCAATAGGAGAGTTTGCTCCAATGGGGAAACAGCTATAAGACCAAACATTGAAAAAAAAGCCTCTTCCAAGAACTCCTAGCTTTGCAGCATTTCAACTACACCAGTGAAGGGGGTGAAGGAAATGGAGATGTGGAAGTGCCACAGATATAAAATTACAGAAGGCAGGGGAAAATAAAATGCAAAGAGTCTTCTCTCCCTAGTGCAGGGGTAGGCAATCTCGGATCTTTTATGACTCATGGACTTCAACTCCCAGAATTCCTGAGTCAGCTATGCTGACTCAGGAATTCTGGGAGTTGAAGTCCATGAGTCATAAAAGAGCCGAGGTTGCCTAGTGATTCTTATATGTCCTGGCCCTTGCTTTGCTGATAAAAGAGCTGCCCTCGTAACTGTATGTTGTCCTGATTCTCTTCACTCTCCTCTGTATTTTGCAGCTGATGGGTGCTTTTGGGTATGTGTGTGTTTGAGTCAGTTTTGATACCTGGTGACTGCCTGGATTACAGTTTTCCTGCAAATATTTCAGAAGTGGTTTGCCACTGTCTCCTTCCTAGGGCTGAGAGAGAGTGACTGGCCTACGGTCACCCAGCTGGCTTTGTCCCTAAGTCTGGACTAGAACTCATAGTCTCCTGGTTTCTAGCCTGATGCCTTAGCATTACATCAAATTTTTCAGTATGGAAAACAGTGAGAAAAGGCTGCATAAATCCTACAGCAAGGCCAGGGAGAAAAACTGAGGTTGCCGGGACATTTAGGTGATGTTATATGGAGCTAATAAAAGCTCAAAGAAGGGTTTGTTTAGACCAAAAGAAAAAGATAACAAGGGAGTCTGAGCTTCGTTGTAAATAAATAAGAGAAATAATTTACAAAAAAGATAGAACCAAGCAAAATATTGGGAAAGGAAAAAAATTAAAATGAGATTTAAAAAAATGAGAGCAATGCATCAACTTGTTTTGCCAGTGCATAAATGGGTAGCAAGGGGTTCCTATTGAATTTTGTTCCACCGTTAACTGGGAAATAAAATGGTTTTCTTGCATCCTGCACATTCACAGCTAATATGTCAATGGTGTCCGGGCCGAGAACAGCTGAGAGCAGAGCTAGTGATATTTAAGCTTATACTTTAAGACCTTCATTGTTTTACCAACACGATTGCTTCTTAAGAGGGGTTCAAGATGAAGCAATCAGGATTGAACCTACTTAGAAACTTATTAACATAAATATGATACAATATTTGTGGGAAACAGTGAGGGAATGTTGTTGATGTAACCTGAGATATACATGAATGATTTTGTTATCGACTGATTTCCCTAGCACCACGCTGCTTCCTAAGTATCTGGATGTGAAAATTTGAAAAATTAATAAAACTTGTTTAATAAAAGATGAAGCAATCAGTTCAATTTTTTCCCCCTGACATATGGCTGGTTTTCATGTGAGTCGTGAATTTCCCATTGACCAAAGGCAGCAAATGCTTCTTCATAGGATCCCAGGATTAAAAGATGCCTAGGAATATGTGTGCTGCTGACAAATGGAGGACAGGTAGTCCTCGACTTATAATAGCTCATTTTGTGACCATCACAACAGCACTGAAGAAAGTGACATGACTTTTTCACGCTTATGACCATGTGATCAAAATTCAGAGTGTTGCAGTGTCCTGGGATCACATGATCACCTTTTGCAATCTTCTGACAAGCAAAGTCAATCGGAAAGCAAGACTCCCTTAAGTTACTAACTTAACAACTGCAATGATTCACTGTGGCAAGAAAGGTGGTGAAATGGGTCAAAATTCACTTAACAAAGGTCTCATTTAGCAACAGAAATTTTGGGCTCAGTTATGGTCATAAGTCAAGGACTACCTGTATGTGGACAATCTCTCTGCAGAGAAGCGGAAGGCTTTCTATCATATAGTGGTATGGCCAGCATTGCACTGATTAGCACATGAAAAACAATCCCAGCCTCCAGGAACAAAGGAAGGTTTTCAGAAAAGGAGAAACTCAAAACTTGCTATTTGTTTGGTAAAAAATTTACAGCCAGCAAGTTCGTAAAATCATTTGACTGCTGGATCTGTCAATGCGGGCTGCTTTCCTTTTTATAAGCCTTGGTTTCATTTTTATAATTGAGAAGGGCTTCTAAAGAATCGTAGGCAATTAAGGCTCACTAAGGGATGGAAACCAGATGTGAATGCTTGTAGTTCTGGGCAGAGCTGTAAAACAATTCCAGCAGGGAAGAAAAAGGGCTTAGATCCAGAAACCAAACAGCCACTTCCCACCCCCACCGCCTACAAATATTGTGTAAAGCTTAAACATTTCCAGGTACAGGTATATTGTTTTGCCCATTCTGCTTTTTTAGAATTACCTGTGCCTTGCACTTGTTTTGCCCTGCTCAGTGCTAAGAGTGACGTTGCTTGAAAGGGAGCTGAAGCTTATACCTTCAAGCCTAACATGCCTTTCAAAGTTGCTTAGAAGGATAAATAATCATATAATGGGCTGTAGTAAAAGAGAACATTATTGGGAAATCTAGAATGGCTTTTGATATCTATCCTATGTCACAAATGCACCTTTAATCAAGGAGGAAGAAATGAATGGTAGGTTGAATACATATATATTATCCATGCCAGGGTGAATGTATATATTATCCATGCCAGATCTTTTCCTTTGAAGATCTGCGGTGGGTTTTGTAATATTTGCCAGTCAGAGAGGTATCCTGTATTGCAGGCACCCCTTTAGGGACCAGTGCCAGAGGAGAACCACTCAACAGCTGGTCTGAGCCTACAGATGTCTACAAATAACCCCATCCAAATGCTTGAAAGTATGGAGTAACTACCTCCTTTGTAGCTCATACTTTAGGATGCAACAGAATCACATCACCAAGCTAGAGGCTTGCTTTAGAAGAGGAGTGTTAGTAGACTATATGAGTTCCAGAGAGAGGGTCCTATGTAGTCATGTGAGGAAATAAAGATACCATACGCTCCTTTCAATTTTTTTTTTAAAAAATGCATGCAAAGAACAGCAAGGAGTTATTTGAGACCCCGAAGAACAAATTAAAGAGAATCTTTCCAAAAGAACCAACGCCTACATATGGGATAAAAGAAATGTTTATGCAGTCATATACAATCCAGCTGAGGGTGCAGTTTTGATGGGAGAGCTGTGGAATTATTTTAAAAGATCAGACTGGCATTTATTCTTATCTGGCTAGATTTTTTAGTATTTAAACAACAGCTTTTCTTTTTTATCCAACTGTAATCTTATTGTTATTAATCTGTAAAATTGATGTTTATTGTATGTTTTTGTAATGTACAATCTGGATGCGAGACTTGGATTTTATTTACTGGCACTGTAGGTATTTCTCATTCATACGTGTACTCTTTATATGGTATATTTTACCAGCCTGAACACTTAAATCTTAATACTGGCCGCTTCTTATTTTTTTTACAGAGACCCTTCTTGATCTGGAATTCCACCTTGATACATTTACCTGGAAGTAGGGATCAATGGGGCTTACTTTTGTGTAAGATTTTTTTTTTCTCTTTCTAAATTCTTCCTAAGGATGGAATCTTTTTAAAGGCTCATCGCTATCATGAATTTCATGCCTCTGAATGCATTACAGAAGGTGAGCCCCAGCCCTGATTATATATATACAGGGCAAAATATATAAAATTAAAAAGGGACTCTAGAATTTCTTTTACAGTGGTATTTTTAACTCAACCAGAATCTTTGTGTGAAACTTTAAAATGGAAACAAAATATATAACTATTTAAATATTAAATAAACCATGTTAAATATTATTCTCATGCTAGAAGGTAAGATTCTAATTTTGCTGATAAATCCATATTGGTCCCAGCAAATATGCTGAGAAGAAAAAGTAGGATAGATATAAAGAGTGGTTTTCTTTTCTTTTCTCATACCTGCTTACGGTCTAACTTTAGTAGGCAATGTGTTAAAGATGAAAGGCAATGCTTAAATTCTGGTTTACCTGCACTGCTTTCAACCAGTTGCATACATGTACTATACATATCCCTGGAATAAGCAATGCTATGTAAAAAGCACAAGGAGAGTGAGAAGTACAGTAATAACTTGAAGAAATAGGAACAGGAGAAAAGGAAATCTAACTAAACCTAGTTTCTGTATGCTATCTGCTGCCCATCATCACTTGGGCCAATTGATGCTGTTTTATCGCATAATGCTTTTTAGCATGATAGAGAAAAGGATAGACCAAGTTACCAATGTTAGTTGTGTTCATGTTACATACAGTATTTCCTTCTAATGGTAAAACACCATACCAATTGGTTTGGCCCATAAGTGACAGCAATTTATGCTCCCTTGTGTCTTTCAAAGTGATAAGTAGCTTATCACATTTGCAAGTATTCTTCAGAATTGACACAAATGCATTTTGTACTAGATTCTTCCCACAAAGCCCTCCAAAATGCAGAAATGTAGTGGCATCTGAAACAGCCTTGAATCTCATCTCTAGATCTGGTATGAGACTGCTGCTTTAACAGTGTACCAACAGATGGCACAATTGGCCAGCTTTGGATAAGTTAATTATTATTTTTTTAAAGTAACAGTTGGATTTTTTTAATATATAAAAATGAGATAATTAAAGCTTTACAACAGTGGCTTTATCTTAAAAGCTTCAAAGGAAATGTAAAAAAGCCCCTCCTCTATTCCTGATTGTAATTCATTTCTCTTCTCAGATTCTCAGAAGTATTTTTTTAAGACAAATATAATCGAGAATATTTCTTTGCAATAAAACAAGCATATTATGCTGACTATAATTCCATTACTATTACTTTTTCATACATAGAAGGGCTGCATAATTTTCATATTACTAAAATTATTAAACATCCTGAATACCAGTCCAGAGTTCTTTTCTATGGTAATTTCATTAAATATTATAATTAAAAGATAAAAATTGATACAAATTTAAAAACTAATATAAATAAAATATAGAATAGAATACAATAGAATTCTTTATTGGCCAGGTGTGATTGGACACACAAGGAATTTGTCTCCAGCGCATAAGCTCTCAGTGTACAGACATGCAACAAGTGATAAATCATGATCATAATCATAAAATACTATCATCATAAATCATAAGCTACAGCACTCAGTGATCTAGTCATAGGATACTAAATAAGCAATCAACATAAATCATAAGATACAAACAACAAAGTTATAGTCATAAGTAGCTAAGGAAATAGATAATAGGAAAGATAAGAAGGATAATAGTAATACAGCCCTACTAGATTGAAATAGAAAAGAAAGAAAAATAAGAATACAGTAAAATAAAAAAATGTACAAAGAAATGAGTTCCATTTTCATCACAGTAAGTGTAAACAATTTTAGTAACTCATCACTTTCTCTTAAAATACAACGTCTCTAAAGCCTTGATGTCCAGTGCTGAGCAAGAGTTCATTAAGAGTTGCCAGAAATAACATATTTATTTTAACCATGAATATATAAATCAACTTTATATTCCTTCCTTTTACTTTTAATAATCTTGGTTTTTAGTGTCTTCAAATGCTGTTCTAGAACTTAGTTTCTCCGTTTTTTCTTTGTACCTTCTCACAAAATCCTTCAAAACCTTAAGAATCTTTTGTAAATCCAACATAGGAAAGTTATCCAAGTCACTCTTAGTTTGTTAGTTGTATATCCTTTTTAATTATTGACACCAGCAGTTTCATTTTTATATCTACTGTAGCATATTTTCCATATCATTGTTGTACTCTGTCATTTTTAAATACAAGTTTTCTGGTAAAACTTGTTCCTCTTTCATAACATCTTTTAACATGGTCTATCTATATAATGTCAGACATTTTTAAAAATAATTTCTGGTTCCATTGATCACAAGTCTCCTTTAATACGTCTGATGTTAAAGTATTTTGCTGCATTCTGTATTAGTAATTCACATTTAACTGTTCTTCTCTTTTAATTGTAATCTTTAGTTTTTCTGGTTCCTTCAAAATCCCATGCTATCATGTTTTTTTAAGAGTTCAGAACAACAGTATTTTCCTTCAGGAAGGATTTTTATAATTAATTTCAAAATCTTATGTCAAATCCATCTGGACCCATAATCAATTTGATTCAATTGTATCACTTTAGAATTGAATCATTTAACTACCACTTTGCATGGCCCTAGTGCACAATGACCAAAGGTGGAAAATTCCAATTTAAAATGAACATTCATAAAAGGGTAGAGATATGATGGGATGGGATAAGAAAGATGTTACTCATCATCATGATTACTAATCACAAACAGTATTGACTCAGTGCTTCCAGAGTGATCCCAACCATATTTAAAGCAGAAGCTATTATAATAATTGAACTGAATCAGATAGCTTTCTCCTCTCTGAGGTTAGAACCACAAGGCAAATAAAGATGAAAGAATCTGGTTCATCCTGTCCTCAGAATGATTCTCCCCAAACTATTAATTGATGATTAGGGGACACTCTGTCTGAGAAGAGAAGGAAGGAAGAAGGAAGGAAGGAAGGAAGGAAGGAAGGAAGGAAGGAAGGAAGGAAGGAAGGAAGGAAGGAAGGAAAGAAAGAAAAATAACAGAAAACATCTATAGCCCTGAGAGCCACCTACTGAGTTTGATATATTGACTGCCCAAATGAAAAGAACAGAAATGTCTTCTTAGGTAAACAAAGATGCTGCCCTATTCCTTTAGAGAGGAAACCTATTCAAGGGAATGGATCCATGAAGAGAACACTTAATATCTGGGTTTTATCTAAGAAGACTTTTTTATGTTAGCCTGAAAAACTGTGATGTTTGAATATAAAATCTACCTACAGTATCAGCGATATCACTGTCTAATTTTAGCTCATGCATGAATGCAGGATACAGAGATGGATGGTTGTCAATCTGACTGACCTTCTTTGATCATAGGAGCATGTCCAAGTTCTAACTTTTGCTTTAAAAACTATCAGTGACTACTAATCTTGATGTCTCTGTAATTTATCATCCGGTATCCTTTACAGAGAAAGGCACTCAAAAGGAAACTTTCATGTCTTCCTTTGTTCTTTCTAAGTATCTCATTGATCAACATAGAAAATGAGATGCTGGATAAGATAGGCTGTCAGTCTGAACTTTTAAAAATCCTCTTTTTAATTTATTTAATTAAATAACAATCAATATTTAATTGATTTAGTCAATATTTCTCCTTCAGTTCAAGTCACTGTCTTCCTCTGTCAACTTTCCTATCACATTCCCCAAATATATATTTATACTTGTATTCAACATATGAGGCAATATTCAACATCTGGCAGTATTTGATAAGCAGTAATGTTTTGCTATGTGGCTTAGACTAGAGTTTTGTAATACCAGTACAATTGGACTGATATGAGACATATGTGCATTGCTGAAATGTTGATTTGGTATTGATCATATATGATGTATTTGTAACATGAAAAGTAGATATATATGAATAGCAGGCAATATTGAGTGTTAAGAAAAGTAGTTCCTGAATGTAGGCCTAAGTGATTGTGCCATGATTGTGCCATCACATAGTTCAGGGGTTCCCAACTGGGGGTGCAAGACGATATTCCAGGGGGTACGAAAACTTGGGTTTAGAAGTTTCAAAATTATAGTGTATATGCATAATTCGTTTTGAACTTTTGTAAGGGGTGCGAGAATATATCAGAAGCATTCTAGGAGTGTGGGGTATAGAAAAGGTTGGGAACCACTGATATAGTTGATTTGGGATATCACTATAAAGCATCAATTGTTTTGTTATCAGTTTATTATTATTGCATTTTTAATGGAGAAAGATATTTGTGATGTTTTCCTTTCTCAAGTGACTTCACCAAAATCAAGCAATGAACTATCTTGGATCACGCAGCAATACTGTCACAAGGCCTCTCTAACCAAAGTGGTCAGTCATGATTCCTCTGTGCTCAACCATTGCATTATACAGTAGATTAGCAGTTGGTATGTTACTTTTGATGTATCTGGCAAGAGGCTGTAGAAGGATTTTCTTCCTTCTCTGGGGTTAATCCTGCCTCCCCTATCATCCTTCTTTGATTATAGAGGCCTGCCACTCGGGCAGATAAAACACTTTATTCATGAGGCCCTGACAGGCAGGCAGACATGGAAGATGGTTGAACCAGGAGGCAGTCTTGGATAGGAGTAGGAGGGGAAGATCAGTGGGAAATTTCCAGGGCAGATCAAATAGATGGATCATGAGAGAGAGTTGGGTGATTCACATACCCATGCAAAATGGCTATCTCAGCAGACCCCCACCGTCTATTTCTTGCATTTTAAATTGATCCAAGGGACTGGGAGAAGACTCCATTTGTAGGAAAGGCTGAAAGCCAGTGCCATTCCATTAGTTAAGTCTTTTTTAAAACCAAGCTAGTGAGGAAGGAGTTTCTTTTGAAGATTCAGAGCCCCCCAGTGTCTTTTCTTACATTTTTATCCTCTTCAGTATGTCCATTCTCTTTTCACTTCCTCCTCCTGATCTGGGAATCTCAGCAGAGGAAAGGGAGACACTTTCAGCTTCACATAAAA